AGATTCCTCCCATATACATCAGGATCCCCGTTCACTCCAGGAGACCTCTCCTTTTTCTCTCTCACGTTAGGAACCTCCCTTCCCATCACAAGCCCCCTTTCACATTAGGAGACCCCTCTATTTACATCAGAGTCCACTCTCTTACATTAGGAACCCCCTTTTACATCACAAGCCCCCTTCACATCAGGAGCCCTCTTCACATCAGCGTCCCCCCTTTACATCAAAGATCCCATTTCATATTAGAGTCCTCCCTTTCATATCAGCATTCCCCCTTCACATCAGAATCCTGCCTGCTCCATGGAAAGACATGACACTGTGTGAAGTTTTTAAGGTACCCACAAGGAAGCCAGAAGGCACCCTGGTTAAAAAAGGCTGGTTTAGGTAATGGGTCAGTCACCTCACTGGGAATGACAGAGATTAGATATTTGTATGTCCTGGGACTCCTCAGTCATCTGTATATCTCAGCTGTAGAGTCCAGTATTTGGCCAATTCAACACCAAACAAGGTGAAGGTAGGACAAGGTCGATGCCCAACACCTGCCGACTCATCTCAACTGAAAACAACAGTGTCTGTCCAAAAATATCTAACACAGGAGATTGCTGTTTCCCCGAGATTGCTCTGCCAGGGGTGTCAGTACAGTCTGATAGCACCCATCGATGCGAAGATTGTATCACTAGCCACCTGAAATCCATCATGTCGTGTCTACATGACAAACCTTAGTTTACAGGATGGCCAGATTACCACACTGGGAATGATGGAGTGGAGAGAAGTCCAGGGACTCTTTAGTCATCTGAACAGCTCAGCTGTAGAGTCCAGTCTTTGGTCAATTAAACACCAGACAAGGCGAAGGTTAGACAAATTCGAGGCCAAACACCTGCCGGCTCATTTCAAATTAATATAATAGTGTTTGTCTGAAAATATCCAAAACAGAATGGCTGCTTCCCCTGAGATTGCTCTGCTGGGGGTGTCAGTGCAGTCTGATAGCACCCATAGATATAAAGAACATATCAATAACCACCTAAAATCCCTCATACCATGTCTACAGGTACTTAAAAAGCAAAGCTAGGCAATCTGCAGGGGAAGCAACAGGTTCACTTAATCAAAACAAGCTACTTACAAATACTCTACGAATAATAGGAATCAAAACGCGTCAGAGCAGTAGGTCATTCACTTCTGACCATGGCTTTTAACTTGGAGTGTGGCTACTTTCCTTTCTACTAGTATAGGTCCACTTAATAGCTGCCCTCACCTCTTCCACTGGTTATTCTCACTTTCTGTTTGCACCCCTACTGCCCCATTTGCCCGATGGAGGGAAATACCTGGTGCTTCCTAGTGCGGGAGAACATAACTGTTACCATTTGATTGTTCCCATTATATACCACTCAGTGCCTGAGCTGCCATATATTTAGGGCCAAGTTCTGCTTTCTGCCTAGTAGTGTTACACAATGCTTGTGTCTTACTATTCCTTTTATCTCACTGCAATTCTATGGGAAGACAGTGGGGGTCTTTCACTTCGGCCCTAGGCTTCTCAATCGAGCAGTATATACAGTAGTAAGTGGTAAAGGGTATAGGTGGGCAGGGTGGGCATTGTAAGGGGGGGGGCAAAACAAATCTTGCACCAGGGCCCATTGTTCCATAGGTCCGCCACTGCGTCCTCTAATTGGACGAGGAAGGTAGGAGGGGTGGATGACATCAAGACCTCGAAGCTGTTCAATCAGAGAATGCTTTGTATTCATAAAAAGGAATAAAAGGAGTTTTCTGATTGGTGCTGATGCCGAGCGAGTGTCTCCCTGTGCTTAGTGTGCAGAGGGGAAACCACTGGTGCTGTACCCGGAAGATCATGGCTATCACTGTATGTAATGTGGACTGCCACAGTGATTCTCAGCTTCCCCATCAAAACCTCCGGAGATCAGATATGGATACTTACATCGAGCCAAGCTGGACCAATGAAACTTTTCAATAAAAATGATATCTAGAGTTTTGGTTTAATTTAATTAGGACATTCCTTACATCTTCTGGCCATGGGCAAAGCCACCAGAGCCTCTGGCCAATTGCAACGTACACCATGCAGTAATTTACACCAGCTAATCGGATCTGTGCACTCTAATTATAGTAAATCAATTCTGACTGGCTGCCCCCGGAATAGAGCATTTGGCACATCCATGTCTGCTCTTTACGCCACATTACTGAATCATTCTTGATGTTTATACATGTGAGTGATTTTCTGAGTGGAGCAGAATGGAGACTATTCATGAGAAACGCTCAATCAGATAACCTTCAATCACTTCTGTAATGCCGGCGTCTCTCTATCTTATGAATGGCCCTTGTCTACTCACAGAAATACACAGATTTACCATGAAGCTCTCTGATGAGCTGATAAACTGTATTTCTGGTTGACCAGTTGAAAATGTAATAACTTATAAGTGGCTGTGATGGCATGTTTTGACACTAGGTGCTTTGTAACAAACCAATAGCCACACATTGAGGAATCACCGCTTAAAACCAACTTTATTCAGATCCCGCCATGCCGCACAGTCCCTGCCTTCCATGCCCTCCACGCCATTCCACTATAGGGTGCTCTCATGCTTTTCCACTGCATTGGGTTCACATGGATACCAGGTTGAATAACACTACATGCCAGACACTTATCTATGGGTCCCCAGTGTTGGCGTAGGATCAGGGCTCTCTGTGATCCTGGCATGCATCTCAAGGTTCCATCCTGAACAGAGTGTATCTTAATTAGTACTGACACCATTTTTAAAAGGACTACATAATATATTTTCAGTGAACACATTTTGAGCTATTGTTAAAGTATTTAAAGTGTATGTAAAGGCAAACACTTTATTTTTACTATAAGAAAGGTGACGGAAGGGTTTCAATCCCGGTCAGGTTGTTTTTCCTATCTACTTCCCATTGGGATGATTTCACTTTATTTTCTGCCCAGGAGACCCAACAGAAAATGAGAAGAAATCTCCCCAATGAAGGAGAATTTCCATCTTAGACAGTTGTCATAGGAGCATATGTTCCCACTGGATTTACCTTCACTTCTTGCGCTGATAACGACTTTAAAAAGTTCAATCTCCATTCATATTCTGCCTTAGTGACAATGGTCACCAGGACACATAAAGGGGTGCCTTTACCCGATGGGAACACAGACCACAATAAAAAGTTGGGGGAAGGTCTAATTTTCCCCCACTCTATCCAAAACATTGGAAACATTTTGCCTTTACATACACTTCAAATAAGTATAACAAATATACTGTATATAACATATAGTTCAAAGTAATTTCTGATGAGACTTTCACATTTCACGTGTTTGCTCTTCCATAGTCTTGTTGTCAGTGTTATTTTAATTATTAAAACCTGGTGGGCTAAGTCATCCTTGGCTTCTTGTATGTCACGTATTCTCTAACAGTTAGATCTTCCTGCCATAATTCTGTCCACCTAAGAATTTGGGGTGCTCCAACCTACCTTGGTGTATTCCAGCGCCTCTAGCTACATTCTCCATAGTATAATTATAGTATAAAAACCTTTAACTTTCAACGATCAGACCATTTACAGATTAGGAGCCCAAAATTATGACTTGTTTTAAAAAGGTCAGGTGTCTTACCACCCATGCTCAGTAATTGATCGACCACCCTAAGACCAGCCATACATGTGTAGATTTAATTCCCCCATCCACGCTAAACAGCATTAATGGAGGAATGCCTCCGGCCGGCTATTGTATTGCAGTCACTATTTGGCCCACAATTTTCCACTTGGCTCCTACAATTTTGAAGTTGACTTCTGTGGTGCCGACATGGTGACCTATAACTTGAATTTCATCCAATTCAGCTGGAATCATCCAAAATCCAGACCGCCTTATGCAGATATCATACATTTAAAGCTGAACTCCAGAAATTGTATTTTCTGTATACTTATATTGTTCCAGTTTGGCTCAATGTAAGTATCCATATTGGATATCCAGAGGGCCACGGGGATATTGAAAATCACTCTAATAGTTTGCACTACATATTGTTGTGGGACCAGGGGTGCCCTCTTACATGGGGTCCGGCGGGCATGGCGGAGATTGTAGGGTCCTTCTTGGGATGATTCGGTGCCCGGCGGCTGGTTGCAGGTGCATGCATGCTTTTGTACATGCACGTTACGTGCGTACCTTACATGCGTGCACACGTGAGGTTGCCGTGGCCTATTAGTCACCTCAGGTGCTGATCATTGCCAGGGAGGGCCTTGCGAGCACACCTTCTCCCCTAGCCGTCGCATTGGTTCCCAGGGACCTGTAGCTTCCCCGTTGCCCAGACTACCGGGGCAATTGCTGGGTTAAAATCCCAGCCAGAGCCAAAACTTGTTGCCGAGTTATTCTGCCATTCCCAAAGCAGCTACGAAGCCTCATTTCCTGTTTCCTGCCTTCCTTCTCTGCTATTCGGATCTCCTGGTTATCGACCCCTGGCTTGTCCCCCTGTTTATGATACTCGCTGCCTGCCGGGACCCAGACTGTACTCTGTCAATGTATTTTGGCTCATCCTATCTTGTACCTCAGCCTGTACTCTCCTTCTGGTATTGTTCCCTGCTATTGGGGTCCACTTCAGCAAAGAGGGGGACTTCGCTCCTTCCCTAACACATATAGTGAAATCCATGATCTTCTGGATGTGGTTCCAAAGGCTTCCTCTCTACATACTGAGCACAGGGAGCAACTCCTGCAGCACCATTGACATCAGGGGCAATTGACATCACAATTTCCAACTCTTCTGATCAGAAAACACCTTTTATTGACTTAAATAAATACAAGGCATTTTCTAAATTGCGGCGGTGCTGAGTGAGGGACTCCCTGTGCTCCGAGAAGAAGCTGCTGGAGGCTCACATGGAAGATCACGGCTATCACTGTATGTAGAACAGACTAAAACAACGATTTTCAGAATCCCCTGGGGCCTTCCAAATATCAGATATGCAGAATTACAAAGAGCCAAGCTGGACCAATGGAACTATCCATATAAGATCACTCCTGGAGTTCTGTATTCATTTAATTAGGACATTCCTTACAACTCCTAGTCATGGTGAAAGCCACCAGCGCCTCTGGCCAAATACCATCTGTTACTAAAGGAAAGCAAATCACAGAGTCTTCACATTGTGAATACACATTTTTTAAATTCTTTCAGTTCTAATTAAATGAATTAGCACATTTCAATGTTAATTATGATCCTCTTTTATATACTGCAGCACTTGTTACATTTGTTGTCCTGTTATTGGGAAAACACAGCATGTGAGAATTTAATAAGAGTCTGAGATCTCATGAGTCATTATTGGGACTCATTATCTCTTTTCTCTATATCCTCAAGACCGATAAACCTTTAAAGAATATACTTCTTGCTGACAGGGCCGGTGCTAGACTATTTTGCGCCCTAGGCAAAACCAGTTACTGCACCCCCCAAGCACCTCCCCACCAAGAGAGATGGGGGTGGGGGGGGGGTGAGTGATCGAGGCTGCTCCCTAGGCAGCAGTGCATCCTAGGCGGCTGCTTAGTTTGCCTAGTGGCAGCACCGGCCCTGCTTGCTGACTGTTTTCCATTTTTTTTTTAAAATCAATATTTAAATAAAATCTGTTCGTCAACATTGATATTAACATCCCGATCTATATTTTATTTTTTTTACACAGCAACAATGTAAAAAATGTGTCAGTCATTTATGAACAGAACCTGAAAACTAGCTCAGTCATGAAGGGGTTTAAAAAATGTTTTCGTTAGGAATTTTAAGATTATTCTAAAAAAAAAATTCCAATCAGATTGCCAAATAAAAAACTGCCAATATATCTGTGAGGGGTTCTCATTTATTCAGGTCATGGTATTTAGCTTGTTGTAGTCAGTCACATTCAACTGGACTTGTCCAATTACATTTTTACAAACAACAAGTTGCCAAAATTAACACTTTGTAGTGATCAATATATACAAAAATCTAAATTTTAGATTTAATGGGCCTTCATGTTTACTTACCAGGGTGAGCTTCCTTTCCAGTCTGACCGCGTTGGGGATCTTGTCATAGTTATGGATCTCTTGATAGGCCTTATGTAGCTTCCAGGCTATCCTGCTATAACAGGTGATAATGGTTGCAGCCGGAGTGACTGTGCACAGTAGGAACATGCTGACGATGAATGAGAATCCATTGGTGGAATTCTGGAACTCAGCCCAGGCGATGGTGCAAGAGACCCCAAATGGTTCAGGCCCGTAGTGGCCCCAGCCAACCAACGGGAATATTGCCCACAGCAATGCGTACAGCCATATGCCAGCTAATAGGATGTAGATGGATTTCTTCTTAATCGTATTGCCTGCAAAACACAAGTAACAGTTCCAAGAGATAATAATACTTCTCAGGAGATTCTGGAGAATGTCAAGATTCTAAAGCTGGCTACCTAGATAGCAAGTAATTGAGCTGCAAGTTTGAAAATGACTTGCTAAACTATTGCAGACTTGCCAAGCTTCACAATTTTGTTGCACAATTACAGCAAGTCTGCATTGCAAGTCTCCAGACCAGCGAGCTTGCAGAGCTCTTGCTAAGACCTGCAGGACTCTTGCTGTAGACTTGCCAAGCAAATTTGCTACAAATTCAAAAAGTGTCACCCAGAGCTTGTGCTGCGAGTGTTCTGCAAGTCTACAACCTGCCAGGGAATGTGTGCAGCAAGTTAACAAAAATTACAATTTCACCCCGCCACAAATTTGTAGCCAGTTATCCTTGCTATCTGGGTATAAACCTCAGGTCATGGTTGGACATGATTGGATTATGGTTGGACATGATTGGATTATGGTTGAACATGATTGGATTATGGTTGAACATGATTGGATTATGGTAAGACATGGTTGGATTATGGTAGGACATGATTGGATTATGGTAGGACATGATTGGATTATGGTAGAACATGATTGGATTATGGTTGGACATGATTGGATTATGGTTGGACATGATTGGATTATGATATTATAATGGGGGTGGGGCGAAAAAAAATGTCTGCCCCGGGCGCCCAGAACTCTGGTTACGCCACTGTTTGAAGTGCAGATTGGACCAGCCTTTAGATGAGATTGCTTTGGCTAAATTGAGGCAAAACACGAATGCTCAGGTGGCCTTAGCATTCATGGTCTCAAAACTGTCCAATGAATCATTCCCCATGAGACAATGGTCAAAAAGTACCCTCTGCTTGTTCCATATTAACAAGAGTGTAAACCAATCTGGCTAAAAACAGGTCAGCAGTCAATTTAAGGTAGCTTCAGATATGTTTTTTTGCGATAAGTGCATGCATTCCACGTAATGTGTACGTATTACACCTGACTTGCAACAAAGTTACAGTGTACAGTCTGGTCACTGAGGCAGAGGAGACTGAGGAAAGACTTCATCCTGACTGAAACAGGTTGATGGTATCATCTCAGCCTAGGCAAAGTCACCTGACTTGAATCCAAGGATTGCTTTTTTTCGGCAGATAAACAGTGGCAGTCCCTTCAAAGGTACATAGAAAACAATTGCTATCTATGTGCCCTGTTTGCACCACAATTCTGCATTCAGATGGGTTGTGGTGCGGTGTAAGAACATGCGGACATTCAGCTGTGTTGAACACAAATGGCATTCAAACTTAGAGCTTGCAGAGAGCTAGTCCAGATGCCAAAAGTGCATTTAAGGGCATCCTGGCCCATGTTTATTCATCACCGTTGGATCAGACATAAAACAAGAGTTCTCCTGGCAGATGGTCTCTGTGTCAGCACAATCCAGTACAGAACATCCATCCTCCTGGCTTATTATGAGACAATTTGGGTCTGCTTAGACCCACAGGCAGTCCCTCTACGGCCTGCATGCAGTCTCTCTCTCAGCCTCCATTCAAATTTAAGCATGAGCTTTTTTTAGGTGACATTGAAACAGTATTTTTTGGACATTTGTGTGCTCATTTTTAAGAGTTTTCAGTCTTAAACATTGTTCTTTTAGTCAATGGAAAGCTAATAACTAGGAGGAGGATATGGTTGTTGGGTACAAAATTGTGCGAAAAAGCCTAAAAAGTCTATGGGGCCCCAAAATGCCCAAAAAGAGAAGCTCATGTATTTTTTCAGTTATGAGTTTTTTTGAGTCATTTACAAAAATGGGATTCTTCATGTTGAATGTTGTTGCGCTTCAGTAAACACGAGACAGAACTCTCAGGTGTGAATGCGGACTGAAACACCCCCACGCCACTCATCCCACAGAAGACTTAAATTGAACCACAAGTGGTGTGGCAAGTGCTCATACTGCTACACAGACCTTTCACTGCCACCACCTTATCTCATATAATGCCACAGTCTAGGCCAGTGATGGGGAACCCGAGTGCCAAAACTGGCAAGATCTCTGACTCATTACGTCAGTCTGGTGACTTGCCAGTAAGGGATTTGGACAACATGGCGCTAATGGTGACAGTTTCAGTCCGGCTTTCGCCCCCTACACTCCACTGAAACCGCCCTCCTAAAACTCACTAATGACTTACTAACTGCTAAAAACAATGGCCACTATTCCTTACTCTTGCTATTAGACCTTTCTGCTGCTTGTGACACTGTGGACCACCTGCTCCTCCTCAAAAAACTCCACTCGCTTGGCCTACAAGACTCTGCTCTTTCGTGGTTCTCCTCCTACCTATCTAAGCCCTTCTTTAGTGTCACCTACAAATCTATCTGTCCTTAGACCCCTCCTCTTCTCTATCTACACCTCTTCCCTTGGTCAGGTAATAACCTCACATGGCTTCCAATACCATCTCTATGCCGATGACACTCAAATTTACCTCTCTACTCCGCAACTCTCCCCCTCAGTGTCCTTGCGTGTCACTAATCTAATAACTGACATATCCGTCTGGATGTCGCAACACTTCTTAAAACTCAACCTTTCAAAAACTGAACTCATGATATTTCCTCCCCCCCTGTACACCTTCCCCCAACTTTTGCCTTGAGATTGATAATACAACTATCCAGCCCTCCCCCCATGCCAAGGCCTTAGGTGTCATCCTTGACTCGGACCTCACCTTTCTTCCCCACATCCAATCACTATCCAAATCCTGCCGCCTTCACCTTCGTAACATCTCCAAAATACGCCCCTTCCTCCCCAATGACACCGCAAAATTACTCATCCACTCCCTTGTTATCTCTCGTTTTGACTATTGCAACTCCCTCCTCATTGGCCTTCCACTACACAAGCTCCTCCCCCCCTCAGTCCATCATGAATGCAGCCGCTTGACTCATTCACCTAACCAACCGCTCAGTGTCTGCAACCCCCCTCTGCCAATCCCTGCCCTGGCTTCCTGTAGCCCAAAGGATACAATTCTAAATATTAACAATGACTTACAAAGACATCCACAACTCTGCCCTGGCTATATCTCAAACCTCGTCTCAAAGTATCACCCTAACCGTCCCCTCCGCTCCTCCCAAGACCTCCTGCTTTCCAAATCCTTATCAACTCCTCCCATGCTCGCCTCCAGGACTTCTCTAGAGTCTCTCCTATCCTCTGGAACTCTTTACCCCAACCTGTCCGTCTATCTCCCACTCTGACTGCCTTTAGGCGATCCCTTAAGACTCATCTCTTCAGGGAAGCCTATCCTACCTCAACCTAAACGCTCAACCATCACGTTCTCAAAGAATTTATCCCCACACAGCTCCCTCCTCATGTATCACTTGCCCCACCCCCACCCCCCTTTTAGATTGTAAGCCCTCAGGGGCAGGGCCCTCCTTACAATCTTGTCTTGAATTGTGATTGTAATGTCTTCCTTATATTGTAAAGCACTGCGCAAACTGTTGGCGGTATATAAATACTATTTACTATAATAATATTTGTACAGAACAAAGTGAATGGGGATAATACCACAATATGGCCTCTAGGTGGAGCTGAGGATCATCGGAAATAAATACCTGTTAGTAGGGAGATACAATGTAACAATTCAAGAGATTGCTGAACGGACTGAACATATAAATGTAACAAATGATACTACGGGATAGTAATGGTTACATTTATATGCTCATTCCCTCCAGCAGTCTCTTGAATTGTGACAGTGTATCTCCTTGCTAACATGTATTTATTTCCTATGATCCTCCACTCCATCTAGCGGCCATATTTTACCCATACGTTCTGTTCTTTATGAATATATCTATTGAAGAACATTTGACCAGGAGGGTAATTACACTAAGAACATTCGTTTTTGCCCTTTTAACAGCTGGATAATGCACACAGAACAAATGTACATGCAGTTTCTCTCAATGAAAAGGCTATGCACAATTTTTAGAACTGGACCCCTTGGGCCTATAACTAGCATGAGTAATAGGTGTAGAAATATGAATTATAGTATCCTAAAGGATGTAAGAAAAGACACCTATGTTCTGCATTGGACTTATTTAAAGGTGTACCTTGTAACTTACACTTAGTAATGGCTATTGGACTCACTTTCTGAGTGGTCTGTCTGAGGAGAGACCCCCCCCTACTCCACAAGTACTATATATCCCAACTTAGCATCTATATTATTAGCATATACTGTATGATGTCATATTGTGAATCTTCTTACTTACGGGACCTTGTGGTTGTGCTGGTCACCAGATAGCGGATTATTGCCATTGCCGTCAAAGTCATCATACTGGCTACTCCAAAGAAGAATCCCATCAGAGCATAATACAGACAAGTTGGATGTCCACCAATCCAGGCATGATTCCAGGCAGAGGCAATAGCCAGGGGGTACATGGAGATGGCCATGCCAAAGTCCGTTATGGCTAAGTTTATTGAAAGGAGGTCTGGGGACTTCAAGTGGGTTTTACATTTTACCGCTGTGGCGAGTACGGCCAGATTCCCCAGTGCACTCAAAATGGCTGCAGAAAAAGAGATTACAATGAGTAGGAGTGTTGTACAAGAGGGCCTCATATACAGTACAATTAGTATTCATTACAAAGTAGGATGGTCCCTCTTTGCCTGTCCATGTTACTGCCTGGGTGACGTTGACACTCCCTATTGACTGTCCAGTGGAAGGGTCCTCTCAGGATCCAAAACACTGCACAGGGTGATGCCATGAATATGTGACCGGTCGGCATGGGCACAGACTGCAGCATTGGACCATCGGTCACCACACCCGGAAGCAGAGCAAGGAACACAGACCAGTGGGTGGGGGTGTGCGATGAAGTGATGGGAGGAAGGATTGTGATTCAGGGAGCGCAGCCTACATACTTAGAATGTCAGTTTTTTATCCAGGCAATGCTGCAATGCATCAGGTCAGCCAACTCCCTCTTGGTACATATCCTGTCCACAATCTGGTGCCCTGGGAACCCCTGCTAGTGATGCAGGAGAGGAGTTCCCAAACACACTCGCTACAACCTCCTTACTGTGTCTCACGTTTGGAAAACCTTACGTAAAAATATGACAGTAAACCTTCACACAGCCACCAATCAGACTCAAACCTACCCTGGAAGGTGAATCGTGATTGGTGCCGCAAGAAGCAGAGAAAGAAATGATTTGCTCAGCACAGACTCCCAATACCTCTGTGAGGTGACCTCCAGGTTCTTGCTGTCCTGGAACGTCTGGAATTTTATTTTACCATTAAGTGTATAGACAACCTGTATTTCTTTTTAGCTGGCTGGTGTACATCCATGTTCTTCAGTTCAGAGTGCTCTTGAAGGGGAACTATAAGGGCCCCCTTCATACCTATGTATGTCCCCCACCATGTGTTCACATAACAGTGCATGGGGCCCTTTAGTTTTGGGTGGACTATGGAAGGGATAGCATTGCTGTCAGCCTTTTATAGCCAGATCCTCAAATGGAGAGATTCACCATCTGTCTCGGTTCCGATGATCATTCACACAGGGACAGGGACCTAAGGGAGAATCCAAAATTTTGAGTTGCCCCCAGAACAGGAATATGAGGGAATGCAACTGGGGACACTTGTTACGGCAGAACAGAGCAGGAATACAGGGGGGAATGCTTCCAATGGGGACACTCGTTACAACAGAATTTTCTTCCGATGGGGACACTTGTTACGGCAGAACAGAAAAACAGAACAGGAATACAGGGGGGGGGGGGGCTTTCAAAGGGGACACTTGTTACAGCAGAATAGAAAAGGAATACAGGGAGGGGAAGCTTCCAATGGGGACACTTGTTATGCCAAATGAATACTTTGTAGACCAAAGCCTTCTCTACGCCTAGTGAAACTCATTACGTGGTTCATTTGTATGGGGAAGCTGGGGCTGACCTTACCCTAGCCGTGTCAGCATTATCCATTCCTCTGCTGTTTGTGTATACATCCTATTACTCGCTCTATTACATAGCGTGTCTTCCTTTTTTAATGAGAAAGCCGGAGAAAGGAAGCTGAGAGCCTTGAAGTCAAGGTTTCCTTGATATGAATTCCATTTTCCAAGAATATATTCCAACATTTCTTTATTTCATGTTCAGTTCCCCCGCTGCTCTCATCATCCATCTCATTTTCTGGATCAATTCACCCGACCTTCACCACACCTACACCAACGCGCCCCCCTTCATATATACCTTTTGTGTCTCTTTTCACATTAATGACCATGAATGGATTTCCATGCTGCAAAGTATCTTTCCATCCTCTTATTGTAGAAAGCTCCATGGCTTATTCACCAAGATAGGCGTTATCTTTAACCATTTCATTTTACTCAAGTTAAAGCCCAACTCCAGGTTGACGCAAGACCTACCCTCGGCGCAGCCCGCTCTTCTTTCAGCATCCACACATTTGCATGTTGTTTTTTTAATTCTGAATATGAATAATTTTTTGGTGATGTCTATAGTCCGGTCACCTGGTGTCCTGGGTTCCTCTACGACGTCCTGGCGGGCAGCCCAAAATGATGAAGAGAATGGTGCCCGCATAATGACACGAGTGCTGTTCCCTTCAATATTTTTTTTAAAATAACCTTTATATTGGGTTTTATGAGAAACTACTATCTATCTATCTATCTATCTATCTATCTATCTATCTATCTATCTATCTATCTATCTATCTATCTATCTATCTATCTATCTATCTATCCCATATCTATCTATCCCATATCTGTCTGTCTGTCTGTCTGTCTGTCTATCTACTTTTACAAATAATCATTTAATACAGGGTGCACCAAACAATTTTCAGAGCTCTATGGGGTTTCTTCCTGCACCCTCACCTTCAATCCCAGGCTCCGCTGCCACATCCTCGGCCTGGGACCGAGGAGGGTGTCAGGAGGAAGATGGGAGGGAGATCAGCATCATCCTCCTTGCTGATCCCCCTCCGTTCTGTGAATGCAGAAGTGATGTGCATTACATCACTTCCGCATTCACCTGTCAGTCATCTGGCTGCTATAGCCAGAGAGAAGAAGCTGATGAAGCAGATCTGTGCTTCATCAGCTTCTTTTGGGGTCCCCAAGTGACATTAGGGGTCTTAAAGACCCCTAATGTCTCCATAAAGAGGACCTGTCAGTGTGCCTGTGCTATCACATAGTGGGATTGTTATCCCCCTATATAATAGCAATAACATTAAGTGAAAAAAAAAAAAAAAATCTTAAAAGTCACATATAAAAAATTTTCAAAAAACAAAACAAACGTTTTTTTAATGCCCCCACCCCCACGTATATGCATATATAAACGTAAATACGTGACAATTGCGGTACACATGTTACATATCGCCGTGAACGTCGCAGTGAGAGCAATAATTTTAGGGGCATTAATCACTGAAAACACTAAACTGATGAGCGGTAAAAGCTTGTAAAGCGTCACCTATGGCCAATTTTGCGTAATGTCATTTTTTGAGGTTTCACGGGCGCGCATAATTTTAAGGCTTGACATGTTTGATGTCTATTTACCCGACGTGACCCCGACTTTTCTCTTTTACCAAAAAATTGGGTATTATTAAATGTTTCATAATTTAATATAGGAGAAACAGGTTTTTTTTCAAAATTTACAGTAATTTTTCCTTAATATAATAAAAAATAAAACCCCCAGTGGTGATTAAATACCACCAAAAGAAAGCTCTCGGTGTCTATAAAAAATGGTATAAAATTAATTTCAGTACAGTGCTGCATGACGGAATAAATGTCAGTCAAAGTACCGCAGCGCTAAATACTGAAAAATGGGCTGGATGGGAAGGGGGTGGAAACACCGCAGAATTCAAGTGGTTAAAAGAGACACAACTGTCCCCTATCAGGCAGGCTTTCTCTAATTGAAACCTTAGACAAACTTATACAGAGAGAGGTGGCCGAAGTCACTGATTTATTCACAGTGAAATCAGAGGAAGCAATTTCAGTCCAGGAGAGGAGCTGCTACATGGGTGCAAGGCCTTATCACTGCTTTCCGTTAGGGAGATTCACCCTGCCTATGTGTCACTGAAGTGAAAGAAAATCCCACCTTTTGGGTTGTCACCAGAACAGGAATAGATGGGAAATCTTCCACTGGGGACACTAGTTCTGGTGACCACCAGAGATTTTCCTCACTCTTTTTTTCATCATTTTTTTTATTTATTTATTATTGATTTATTTTATTATTTTATTTATTATGTATTTATTTCAATATTTTGTTCTGGTTAGTTATGTATTCATTTATGTATTATATATTTATTTGTTTGTTTGTTTATTTTTCTACCCAGGATTCCGTGCAATGGCAGTCGTGTTCATCCCTGACCTTATCTAATTTTGTATCCAGTTCACTAAACCCTGCCAGCGGTTTCCCGGGGCCGCATTCATTTCCACATAATTAAAACGACCTCATTCTGAGTTGATTGATCAGGATTGATCAGGTAAACCGACATCAGAGAAGAGACGGATAAGCGCGTTGTGTGAAGAGTGTCAAGGATTCTACTGCTGAGATCTCTGCTGTGCCCATTATGAGGGGTTCCCACTCTCTTGTTGACTCTATTGGTGAGATCTCTGCTGTGCCCATTATGAGAGGTTCCTGCTCTCTCAGGGACTCTACTGGTGAAATCCCATCTATGCCCACTAACAGAGGTCCCAACTCTCTCTTGGGGACTCTGTTGGTGAGATCTCTGCTGTGCCCATTATGAGGGGTTTCCACTTTCTCAGGGACTGTACAGGTGAAATCCCTCCTGTGCCCATTATGAGGGATTCCCACTGTCTCTTGGGGGTCTGTATTGGTGAGATCTCTGCTGTGTCCATTATGAGGGGTTCCCTCTTTCTCAGGGACTCTACTGGCGAAATCCCATCTATGCCCACTAACAGAGGTCCCAACTCTCTCTTGGGGACTCTGTTGGTGAGATCTCTGCTGTGCACATTATGAGGGGTTTCCACTTTCTCAGGGACTCTACTGGTGAAATCCCTTCTGTTCCCATTATGAAGGATTCCCACTCTCTCTTGGGGACTCGATTGGTGAGATCTCTGCTGTGCCCATTATGAAGTGTTCCCACTTTATGAGGTGGCCAGGAATACAGTGGTGAATGATAGCAAGGAAAGGACTAAAGACCTAATGACTGAACTTCTACCTTCCCCATTAACTCATCCACCCGCCCACAGGGATTACCTGTTGCATCACTTGCCCCCCCCCCTTGCCATGAACTGTATTGTAACTGTACTATCTCCCTCCATTTTGTAAAGCATGGTGCACACGGTTGGCACTTTATAAATCCTGTATAATAATAATAATAATCGAAAATGTTACAGTCATGGCCCAGAATATTGGCACCCCTGTATTTCTGTCAGATAATGCACCACATTGCGCAGAAAATTGTTGCAATGACAAATGTTTCGGCATTCTCATGTTTATTTCTTTTGTTTGTATTGGTATGACACAAAAAAGTGGAGAGAAAAAAAGCCAAATCTGACACATTCCACGCAAAACTCCAAAAATGGACTGGACAAAATGATTGGCACCCTCAATTAATATTTGGTAGCACAAATAAATAAAAAAAATTACTGAAATAAATTGCTTCCTGTAACCATCAATGAGTGTCTTACACCTCTGTACAGGAATTTTGGAGCACTCTACTTTCGCCAACTGCTCCAGGTCTCTCAGATTGGAAGGGTTCCTTTTCCCTCCACAGGAGCTCTATGGGATTCATATCTGGACCCATTGCTGGCCAGTCCAGTACTCTCCAGTGCTTTATCTGAAACCATTTCTGGGCGCTTTCTGACGTGTGCTTTGGGTCTTTGTTCTGCTGTAAGACCCATGATCTCTGACGGAGACCCAACTTTCTGACACTGGGCCCTACATTGCACCCCAGAATTCTTTGGTAGTCTTCAGATTCCATAATGCCATGCACACAGTCAAGACATCCAGCGCCTGAAGCAGCAAAGCAACCCCAAAACATCAGTGACCCCCCACCATGTGTGACCTGTACGGACTGTATTTTTTTTCTTTAAATGCCTCATTTCTTTTTCTGTAAACAGTAGAATGATGGACCAAAAAGCTGTCATTTTGTGTCATACCAATACAAACAAAAGAAATAAACACGAGAATGCCCAAACATTTGTCATTGCAACAATTTTCTGTGCAAAGTGGTGCATTATCTGACCGATATTTTTGGCCATGACTGTGTATGGTCAATCGACAGAGATAAATGTATGTATGTATCATCACAAATACAGCAGAGAATACTCATGGAACAGAAACAAAAAAACAATATTGTATAATAGTGACGATAAAGAAAACAAAATAAAATAAACAATAAAGGAAATAAAATATTCATAACAATCACATTCCATTCCAAATTCGCACCTTTCAGGATCCCTGATGTAACTTCTCTTCTACTTAGTGAAAACCTATCAGCGCCCCTTATGGGATTTTCTCCTCATGCTACAATCCGAGCTCTGTCCTGGAGTCATGTTTGTCAACATCGTGCCTGACCACATTAGTACTTTATTCATTTCAACATTGGAGGAACGGTCACTGAAACTGTCAAACAGGCGTCTGCTTGTTCTTACCACATATTGCATGTGACATGTTTCACATAAGATAACATAAATCACATCATTAATGTGTCCGCTAACCAGATTGTTAAAAGGCTTTATGATCTTATCATGTGAGCATCACCCAAATAAGCATAACCAGGGAGTCTGGCTGGCCAGCTTCTGAATGATCCAGCGGTATGTAACCAAGTGCTACCGTGTTTCCCCGAAAGTAAGACCTAGCCCGAAAGTAAGACCTAGCGCTATCTTCAGGGATTTCTTTAATATAAGACCTCCCCTGAAAATAAGACCTAGTTCGGTGGTAGGTTTTATATTACAGAAATCCCTGAAGATAGCGCTAGGTCTTATTTTCGGGTAGCTACACATACCCTGTTTCCCCAAAAATAAGACCTACCCTGAAAATAAGACCTAGTTGCGACCATTCCCGGGGTCGGTGGTGGCATAAGGGGGAACTTGAAGTGCCGCGGGAGAGGCGGGAGAGAATCAGCGGTGCCAATAAAGCCAGCGCTAGAGAAAGCGAGGCGGCACCGTGAATCAGGGGTGCCAATAAGGCCAGCGCTAGAGAAGGCGAGGCGGCACCGGAGGGAGCAGAGCCGCATAAGCCGATGCCTCCTCTATAGTGCCGGCTCCTGTCACTGGCGGAGTGATACTAAATGCAGGGGAGCCTGTGAGGAATCGATAGTAAAAGCGCGCTTCGCTCATTGTGGCCAGTGATTGGTTAGCAAATTGCTCTTGGAAAGGTACGGCACCCCTGATTGCCCTGATCACCATGTTTTTGTACATGAATACATGTAGACTTTTCTACATAAATACGTGTGGGTTGTTGTACATAAAAAAAAAAAAAGACCTACCCCGAAAATAAGACCGGGTATGTTTTTTTGAGCCAAAAAAAATATAAGCATGAAACATGGTACAACTGAATTCTAAATGTAAAGACCAGCCGCAGCTCCCGCCCCGCCCACACGCCGGCCACAGCTCCCGCCCCGCTCACACGCCAGCCCGCCCGATGGAAGCGGCATATCATCCGCCAACTTCGGGACCGGCAACAGCACGCCACCTTCCGGGACCTCGTCCAGTCCGGTGAGTACTCCTCCCCCAGCCCGGTAAGACATCCCCCGAAAATAAGACCTAGTGTCTTTTTTCGTGCAAAAAAATAAAATAAGATGGTGTCTTATTTTCGGGGAAACACGGTATGTATCTTTTTCATTCTAATAGGTGACAAAACTTTCCCAATAGTTGGTGCTTTTTTGGCAACAAAATGTACTCCAGGTGTCAAATCTAGGGATGTTCAGATACCAGGTACAGTACTTGCTGGAAGTACAAGTACAGATACTTTTCCAGCTCCCAGACTAGAGAAAAATGTAAAAGTTAGGAGGCAGCTGTCATTTGTAAGGAGCACACGGAGCTCCTGGGATTTGTACATCTCTGTTTTAATGTATGATTTTTTTTTGTATATAAATATATATTAGGGATGCACCAACACCATTTGTGAGCATCCTTCCCACTGACCACCGATGTAAGGAGCATTCTTCTCACTGACCACCGGTGTAAGGAACATTCTTCTCACTGACCACCAACGTAAGGAGCGTTCTTCTCGCTGACCACCAATGTAAGGAGCATTCTTCCCACTGACCACCAATGTAAGGAGCATTCTTCTCACTGACCACCAATGTAAGGAGCGTTCTTCCCACTGACCACCAATGTTAGGAGCATTCTTCTCGCTGACCACCAATGTAAGGAGCATCCTTCCCACTGATCATCAATGTAAGGAGCATTCTTCTCTCTGACCAACACTGTAAGGAGCATTCTACCCACTGACAACCAATATAAGGAACATTCTTCTTACTGACAACCAATGTAAGGAACATTCTTCCCACTGACAACCAATGTAAGGAACATTCTTCCCACTGACCACCAATGTAAGGGACATTCTTTTTACTGACAACCAATGTAAGGAGCATTCTTCCCACTGACCACCAATGTAAGGAGCATTCTTCCCACTGACCACCAACATAAGAAACAATATTCTCACTGACCATCAGGCTAATATACCATGAACTGTAGATTTAGTAATTCTTAACAGGAGTTTCTTGAGACCAGAAAGTTATTTTAGGGGTTGCTCCATATTAAAAATATGAATAAAGGATGTTCTAGCATGTGAAAATCACCAATCGAAGGACTTGTCTCTTTTTTCAACCTGACTAACTATGTAACACTGCAATACTTTGAAGGGTGAATAAAAAAAATGTTGGTGTAATATAAATGTATAAACAGTATTTATGTATTATTTATGGGTCTAAAGCAGTGGTTCTCAACCTGTGTAACCTCAGGACCCATATTTGTTCTATGTCATTAAGTCGCGACCCAAACCGCACTGCAATGGAATGCACAGCATTTGTGTACCGCTCGTTTCAGTGCGGGCGTACGAACTGTGGGTGGTAGGGGATTTTTGGGTACCATTCAAATGAATGGCAACGCAACACACCTCCCACATCAGAATGCATGGTAGGTGCAATTGCCTGGTACAGTGCGTTAATCGCACAGGACTGTGTGATTAACTCACTGTACACAGCCCCTCGAAAACACTGACATACATACACAACCACAGACAACAAAAAAAATAATTACGGTCCACCCAGTCTCCCTACCTTACAAGAACTTCAGTGGATCCTCAGCCTTGGAACCAGTGTGGGGTTTTGTGTTGCGACGGAGCTCCATCCATGCATGCATTGCTTGTACAGCTCCCTTGCGTGCCCTGTACAGGTGCTGGGAGCCAGAATGTGACATCACTCCGGTCCAGGCACCTCTATGGGACAAATGGGTGAGCTATAAGCAATGCACATGTGACTGGAGCTCCCTCGCAGCCATAGCCCCCATCCTATCCCACCTCAAGCTGACATTCCACGGGCAGCATAGTATGAATGGCTGTTTGGCATGAGAGCTGACAGTGCTGTGCTGGGGGGGGGGCTAAGAAGCCTCTCACCAAGAAAAGTGGAAGGCATGCGGCGACCCACTGAACAAGGACTCGCGACCCATTTTGGGTCACGACCCACCAGTTTAGAACCAAGGGTCTAAAGTGTATATATATATATATATACTGTATATGTGACATCTGAGCTGTATATAAGGTCAGAAGGATGTGATCTTGCCTCGGGAGACATGAATAAAAGACAATAGTGAATACTTCTGGCTAAACTTTCCTTATACTCCAACTTTCTGTACCATGTTATAAGAGCACTGAGAAAATCCCGGGATGGACTACAATCTCACGTTTAGTTTACTAATTTGTATTAAGATTGTAGTCCATCCGGGAGTGAGCTTGGAGCGGTGACTACGTTACAACACACACAGGGACCATGGGGGAACACAAGTAGTCACCCTCCAGAAGGAAGGACAGTGTCAGCACCAATTCAGAGATGATTGGAGGATCTACAGACGAGTGATACACAAATAAGATACATTGCTGTTCATAGTTAAGATACTTCGATGTATTTTTAAGATTTAACGCCGGAGTTTAGTGTCACTTTAACCCGGACAATTCTGCTGTCTGTCAAAGAGAATTCTACATGCAGTCCCGGAAGACACATCGTGCGATCTGATTAGATCTCAGGAAATAATTTCTCTGCTTGATCCAATTTCCATATTCATGACAACCTGACGCCAGTTGGAGGTGACTCCAAACTTTGTAACGATCAACCTGAATGTAGCACATTGTGCAACGTGATGTGATGTGTGTTGTTGTGATGTTCAGCCTGAATGTAGCAGATTGTAGTATGCGATGTTGTAATGTGTGTGGTGTCTTTCATCTCTTACCAATCGCCGGAAGTCCGCCGTCTATGGTCCACTTACCTACAATCAACAAGAAGATCCCGGCTGCATAGTCCACCAGTGGATGGAGAGTAGACACATATTTGTCCTCCATGGTCCAAATTTTGGAGATGGAGTTCTAAGCCATTTGCTATGGATGTGCCCTCATGGTCCTGTCTATAGTCATAGGGACTTGGCTGGAGAGGCGT